TATAGCTAATCAAGATTGGTCAAATAATGGAATATTAATGCTTGCTTTCAAGAAAACATATTTTTCTTGGGAATTTTACTGCTTTAAAAATTTCTTTTAAAGAGTGTATAATAATTGAAAAGATATTAGAAAAAGTACACATTTAGAAGGTGAAGATGAGAGATACTGCAGCATGGTTTTTGTATTATCCATTGCTGCCCTCGATGTATTTGCTTAGATCCCAGATATCAGCAAAGAGATTTAGTCAAGGTGAAAATTCTAAAAATGAGCTGCTATTTTCACTACACAGCTCAGACTTTTTTTTTGTGGTGGAACCGGGGATTGAACTCAGACTCTTGCACTTGCCAGGGAAGTGCTTATTCCACTGAGCCACCTCCCTGGCCTCCTTGAGCTGCTATTTTCAAACAAGTGATGGATATTATTAGTACAATCATCTCAGCCATCCTGCATATATTTTTCCATGTTTTTCCCTTCCTTTTAGCCTATCTTTTCTCCTCTTTCATCTTCAATTTTTCATCCTTAAGTTGGATCCTATTTTCAAAGGTATGGTTTCCTTAATTTCTCTCTCAGTGAGTTTGTTTTCTCATGTACAGTTAAGGTATTGGTATGTGAATGTCAATGTTTTATCCAGCCATGCTACTGAAATGGTTATTACAGATGGGAGGCATTAGGTTGGGTTTTGTGCTCTTCTATGTAGAGGTTTGTGCCATCTGAAGGCAATGAGAACTTGCTTCCTGTCTTCATTCCTCTTATTTCATTCTCATGTCTAATTGTTCAGGCAGATATTTTCAGAACTATAAGCAAGACAAGCTGTGATAATTGGGGCCCTTATCCTATTCCTAATTTTAGAGTGAATACTTTTAACTTTTGAAACATTTAGAATTATATTGGCTGTAGATTAGTCATAGGTGACTTTTATCACATTGAGATTAGACATTGCTGTTCAATTTTCTGTACATTTTTAATTTGTTTGTGTCACGAATGGGTGTAGGACTTTGTCAAATGCTTTTTTTGCATCTATTAAGATCATCCTTGCTTTTTCTCCTTTTTCTGTTAACTATGTTTACTGATGTACCTATTTGGAGCCTTCTCTGAATGTGTAGAATAAATCTTATCTGATTATGGATTATAATCTTCTTGAAGATGTAGTGAATTCTATTTCCCAGGGTTTTTTGGGGATTTTTGTCCCTATGTCCACTTAGAAGATTTGCCACCACTTTTTTTTTTTGTTGTGGGGGCCGAACCAGGGATTGAACTCAGGCCCTTGTGCTTCCCCGGCATGCGCTTATTCTACTGAGCCATGTCCCTGCCACCATGATTGACACATAGAGTCAACCTGAGAAGCCTAGAAGCTTAACTCTCTAAATCTGCATATTCTGGGATCAAACAACATGACTTCCCTGCTGTCAGGTGCTGTTCATTGTGCCAACTTGAGAAGTTTAGAAGAGTAAGCAACTCAGCAGGGTGCCAGGGTCCTTACTGAGCATACATCCGGATCCTGTGGAAGAGGAGGGCATGGATTTGCTGTGGGT